AAATCGCTTTTAAAGTTGTCCAAATTAAGTTCTTAGCAATGCATATTACTAATAAAAAATTGTGTTTTGATAAGCCTATATTTATGGTAGGAACTTTACAAAATATCTTGAACATGACCTTTACTTAATATCCTAATGATTTTTGGCATAAAAGAAAAATCGATACTTTTTACCCATGCAATGTATTGTTGGCTATTGCTACAAATATACCCCAGCGACTTAAGACTGGTTTTGTGCTCCAGGGTCACATATTATATATTGAACACTGTTATTGCCCACGGAAAAAGACACGCACATTGACCTTTTGTGACAACATGCCACGATTTTACCCAACGGATAATACAAAAAGACAGAATTTTGAAAAATTATTGTAGTATTTAATACTTATCATTTATAATATATAAAATATTTTAAAATTCAACATTGAGATTAATCAAGTAGATGAATGAGAAATGCAGAATAAAGCATTGCAATAATAAGAATGAAGGGGAAATGTAGTATAAAGCTAGGATTTCCCCCCCATTAAACATTATAATTTATTTATTGTTTATTTTGACTTTGATGTGAAATGTTTGTGTGTGATCACCCTGGTTTCAGTTTTAGGGCTGGGTCACCCCATCAGTGAAGACAATTAGATGCCTGAATGAGCAGCGGGGTTCTGTTGCTTTCAGAGTCATTATTGCACAATAGAAGAGTCGTACACCGTTGGGTGTGAATAATAAAACTACGCTACGTGTGGAAAAAGAAGGGTGTATGTTAACCAGAGAAAAGAAGTGAAATTACAGGCCTAGTGATCCCAGTGTTTCTGTATGACTTCATAATATTTGTCATCATAATTAGCATATGCATTATGAAAACACATGTTTTGTAAATTGATCATTGTGAAGGAATGCTTCTATTAAACTCCTGGCCCTTTAAATTTAGTTTAATAAGTATTGCATTCAAAAACAAAAGTTCAACATGATCGAGATCAAATGCATGAAATAATTCAAAAACAAAATGCAAATGCAGAATGAATACAAGATCCTTTAAATAAGCTTTTGAGAGATTTATATTTCATTTGGGATCTTAGGATTTCAATAGTGCACATAAGCATGTTTTTATGAAGGTGTTGAGCAACACGACAGCCTCTGAAACCCTGAACATACC